CCGAAAACACACCGCGCCGGGCAACGAAGAGTGGCTTCGTAAGAAGCATTTCAAGGTCCTGGAGTGGCCTAGCCAGTCTCCAGATCTCAACCACATAGAAAATCTTTGGAGGGAGTTGAAAGTCCGTGTTGCCCAGCGACAGCCCAAAACATCACTGCTCTAGAGGAAGATCTGCATCGAGGAATGGGCCAAAATACCAGCAACAGTGTGAAAACCTTTGTGAAGACTTAAAGAAAACATTTGACCTCTGTCATTGCCAACAAAGGGTACATAACAAAGTATTGAGATGAACTTTTGTTATTGACCAAATACTTATTTTCACGCATATATTTGCAAATAAATTCTTTAAAAATCAGACAATGTGATTTTCTGGATTTTTTTTTTGTTTTCTCATTTGTCTCTCATAAGTTGAAGTGTACCTATGATGAAAATTAGAGGCCTCCATCTTTTTAAGTGGAGAGAACTTTCACAATTCGTGGCTGACTAAAATACTTTTTCTGCCCCACTGATATCTGTTTTTAATATTATCAACAATGAACTAAATGGACACATGAATTAATGGCAGAGGCACACAACTGCAAGGTGCTAATTCTAGTTCCTTTTTAATGGATTTGTTTTAACACACACACACACACCACACACACACACACAACACACACAGCACACACACACACAACACACACACACCACATACACACACACTCAATGTAATTTATTTATTTCCTGTCACCATAGAGAGTCACTTTATCACTTTATAATGAAAGCATGCACATACATATTGTAACCTACCTCCACTATGGTTGAAGAGCTGCATGTAAGGAATCAACTATGCTTTGAAGAGCTCAGGCATACTCTCAGAACACTCTCGTGTGTTGTACTGCAGAAGTTCTTGAGAGGGTAGATGATGAAAATCATTTTCAGCCAGTCCTGTTTTTGTTACTACTACTTTGTGTTGGTGTCGCAGTAACGCACTGTGATGTCATCAATCTGTCCAGCAGCAACAAACTCAGGGAGGTTTGTTACTCCAGAAGACTCAGAGATGAAAAACGTCATTGAGTGTTTCACTGTGGGACAAAGAAGGTGTTCAGATTTTCAGCCAGTCTATAAAGTCTACAAAGAAATGTCATGTATTTGCTCTGTTGATTATCACTGTCAGTGGACAGAAAATGAAACTGTTTTCTGCCAGCGAAAGAGCTTGAAAGATTTAAAATGTTTTCTTACCTGAGATGAAACATAGACAGAAGAGGAGCAACAAAAATAATTTCATCTTGGACTGAAAAACAAGTAGAGCTGAAGAGCTGAGAATCAGCTGATGTGAAGTTTTGCTTCGGTCCATGATGTTTCCTGGTTTAATACTTACAGGTGAACAGGAAGTTTAACAGGATTGTTTGTTGTTGTCAGCTCTCACATGTGGAACATGAAGCGGGACATTTTTTTACAGGTCCTGTGTGTTTCAAGTGAAGTGTGTTACCTGTTTTTGTCCTAACTGAGGCTCTATTCTGATCTGCCTGTACTTGTCTACCTGCTAAAGTCCTGTAATGAACACTTGCTGTTATAACCTGCTCTATTTTGGTTTAGTTTTCCCTTTGCTGCTATATATATGACTTATCTCGCTGCATAGATACCCACAAAAACATCCTGGGTCACACAGCAAAATGGCGATCACATGTTTATGATAGGATCACAGGCCACAGAGTTCAGCTTCACTGACCTATCAATGTTATAGAGACATGCATATCAGCCTGTTTTTAGCAGAAAAGCCAGTTTTGTAAATATTTTTATTGTAAAATCTGTTTTTTAACATTAACATAACAAAGAAACAGTAATGTGTATGCTCTGTATGAAGTTAGTGTAGAGTTCCTCTTTAAGCGCTAAATGTTTTCTAACTACTTCAGCTTTGAAGTAGTTAGAAGGCACATTTGACAGAGCTACTGGTTTGAATGTTTTCTCCCTCCTGTGCTATGCTAAGCTAAACTTGTCTAGGAAGCTAACTCCTAGCTATTCCTACAGAAGCCCATGTTTCATGTTATGTAGTAATGATGTTTTGACCTGTCATTGGACCCTGCAAGGGTGTCAGGCTGTTGTTGTCATGAAATCTAACTGAGCCCCTGAACACATGACACCTTCTCTAACCTGAGGTCATTTCAAGACTGCTTTTAAATTTTTCTAATTTAGTTTCAGGGAACGGCTGCCAGTATTTTCTGAAAATATACACTGTTTTAAAATATTATAGGCATCGTTTATCTATTTAGATTTTTCCACTTAAATATTGCGTGCCATTTTGAATCAACATGGGAAACGGTTTGTCCTGTATTTCCGGTTGCCTTGAACGCAGCATCATCCCACCCGAATTCAACTTCTTACGGCTAGTACCTGCCTGCCCATAGCAACTCCTCCATGACAAGGCAAAACTGAATTTTTTGATTTTTTTTGACCATGTACTAATAAGGAAAACTGAAATATCACAGTGACAATAAGTATTCAGACACTTTACTCAGTACTTAGTTGAAGCACCTTTGGCACACCTGGATTTGGGGATTTTCTGCCATTCCTCTCTGCAGATCCTCTCAAGTCTGTTCAGGTTGGATGGGGACCGTTGGAGACTGTCATCATTGTCTTGGCTGTTTTGCTTAGGGTCATTATCCTGTTGGAAGGAGAACCTTTGACCCTCCTGAGCACTCTAGACCAGGTTTTCAGTCGTTGTTTTCAAGCAGGTCTCAGATTTCCTCTGACCATGTGACCCAAATCAGTCTTGTCTTTAGGAGCACGCCCTCCACTGAAACGAGAATTTTTGGTTTCTGGTGTTTTTGTTGTCCTGTTCTGTAAAACTATTAAATAAATGTGAAAATCAAATACTGAAAAAAAAGAAGACCACAGATTAACACGTAAATCATGAGCACATGAATCTAAAATTGTGCATACACAATGCACATTTTTTAAGATCGTCTTTCCAGTGGAGAATACATCTGTACATCACCTCTTAACTAACTCTGTCTGTGTCTCAGGTGTTCACATTTTACAGTGGATGGGCAGCTGTGAATGGGACGATGAGACTGGAGAAGTTTTTTGGTTTTTTTGCGAGTTTGGTTATGATGAGAAGATTTCTTGTCATTGGACCTGAACACACTGACATGGGTCGCTCCGAAATCACAGGCTGTTGTCACCAAAACTGACATGGGATGCTGGACAAAACAAAGAATAAAGTGCAACAAGAACTTCTTAACTCTGGTTTGTCTGGTTTGGCTGAAGAAGTATGTGAACTATGGGAAGAGCTTTTTGCAGACAACAGTAGAATCACATGACCTATGTAGTTTCATGAACACACCAATATTCATATAGACTACTCAGACTGAATTACCAGTGTATCATCACTCCTCTCAGTCTGACTTTACCTTCTTTTTGGCCGTTTTCTGTGGCAGTAACCATGCTCATCAATCAGTGGAGACTGACTTGTTTGGGGCTCTGTCATCACATCTATGAACTATAAAGAGACTGTGTGGCAGTTGTGCAGCAAATCACTTACACTGAGCATGTGCAAGCCATTGTAAACAGGAAGCAGACTGTCTTTCTCTGCAGTTGATTAGTTGCAAAAATGCTAACGAATGAGCGAACAGCAAAGTCAGCTGCAGTGTTAAAATGCAGAGTTTACCTGCTCAACAGCTGCGAAGCAAAGCTTCTTGGCAGTGCCTGACTCCGCCCCTAACTCCCACTAAATCCATACGAAATGAAAAAGAGGTGGGATGTGTGTGGACCTGAGACTTTGGTCATGCCGGTTTGTGGC